TAAGGGTTTAGAAGAAAGTGAACTCCCTATACTGAAATGCCCATTGTTTCTGGCCTAATGAATAAATTCACCAAAAAATTAATCAGTATCTTCAAAAACTTATAAACTCAATTCAAACAGATTGTATATTTTTGTTGTGTGGCTAATAATGAAAAAATCAAGTTTGGTTTGTAATGATTATATTGTGTATTAATATTCTGAAGTCATATTTTCTATCATAAATGTCAGATTATCCACCGATATCAAATAAAATGGAATACGCAAATTCCAAGACTGCTAAGGTTTTTGAGGACTTCGCCCCCCATATCATGAACTAAAAAAACAATAAAATTCAATACAGCGTACCTTGTTTATATAAGTATCTTATTAGATTTCAATTTAATCTTTGAAAGAGATCATATTTTCCTCTTCAGTTAACAGATACATAAACAATACTGTTGCTATTTGCATACCATAAATAAGCTGTAGCATTTTTTTAGTGTGATGGTTTATTCATGTACATGCGTATTTGATAATTGCGCCTATAGAGTACCACAGTCGTGTCGTCACGACGTCAGGTGGCGTTCTCTGTTGTCAACAGACGTAGGTTACTGTCGGGTTGAACGCATTTTGCAACGATAGCAACAGAGTAGTATCACATGGTATCGTGACGTAACACTGTAGTACTCTATAAATTCTATTATTTTCTTTATTTTACATATTGGTTGAGTAATTTGTTATATTTTCCTTTTATATATAAAATCACTTTATTGCATAAAAACAATACAGGATACAAATAAAGAGCCGAGAACAGTGTCCCAAAACTGGGAGCACGCAAGGCTAAATGAGTTGACATACAAAAACATTAAGACACAAAATATACCAATAAATAAAAGTATAAAAATAGAGGCCGGCCTATCATCAAATTAAGGGAGACTGCATTCAATTAAATTGTCAGTTCAAAAAGAGGCAGATTAACCCAAGAGGGTTGATCTTATAGTACCATTATAGTAAACAAACCTACTAACAAATCTCATGTTATTAAATGAGATATTTTTCAATTAATGAGTGTTTATGAGTTTTTGGAATGTATTCTTTATTGATTAATCAATGTTGGGAAGAAAGTCATGCGCAAATTTAGATCCTTAATTGGGTTTGTATATCAATACGTTTGCCAGCGACACAAACACCATAAGGGTGACGGTACATTGCTGCCTTTACAAATAGCTGTTAGTATCAAGTGCCATTATCGATAGCTTTTTCTTTTACGCATTTCCTAATCTAGCAACTTGAGAATCTGCAAGTGAAGGCATCTAAAAATTAGGTCATAGGCAACTTAATGTTATTTCAACCTATGTAAACTATGTTGTATGTTGTTGTTGAACTATGTTTTTATACAATGTATAACATCATGTTCCTCTATGTTTGAGCACTGTATTATAGTTTATTTGATTTTTTATTATGTTTTTATTTGATATA